AGTTTGTCACAGCCCCTCGTTTGTTGTCCTCTTCTCTCTCTCTGCCTACGGTTTTACCGGGCAGTTCTGTTTGTGACGATATATATAATATATATCGTCACAAACAGTCAAAGAGAGCTGCCCGGTGAACCGTAGGCAGAGAGGGAGAAGAGGACAACAAATGCGGGGCTGTGAAAAACTGTTTCGTCGGAGTTTCACCGACTCATAGATATATGTAGTAAACAAGCAAACTGAACCAGTTATCGACTCGGTTTATGCGTGCGTGCCATCCTTTTGATCGATTTATGCTTGTCGTGCTTGATTGCGCAGGGGCCGCGCTAATTTCCCCCTATACATCGTTCCAAATTTTGCGGAATTTTGCGGACATCGCGGAGGTCTTTGCGGAAGAGACGGTGCATGTCGTTCTTACACACGGGCCATGCTGATGTAGTAGTGCTCCAGCAAACAATTCCCATTTGATGATGGTACTCTGTTCCTCCGCAAATACATGGATTTGAACTGGAGTCTGTATGTGGTCCAATTTTAAAGGATTTCCGGAGAGACCGCCGTCAGACGCCGTTAGAGTATAGTATTGCGGAGGAAGACGGCTGTTTCAAGCAACAACAGTGTTTACCCCGCCGCAAAGGAGAGGACAAGCAGGAGCACTTCTCTTCCTCCACCCCCCCCGCCCCCCTTCCCCCCCCAAAAAAGAAAAGAAAGGGATATTCTCCACATCGTGTGCGATCTGGAAGCGTTTCCAGCCGTCCGATTGAATGAGAGGATGGGGATACCGACCCTGAGCGGCGCCGCCATAGCCATCCGCCAGAGCCTGAGTAGCGCGACGCTGGGCGTAGCAGATCATCATCTCACCACGCGCCCGCACGCCTTGGGGCGCAATACGGCGGACTCTCCGCGTTCCGAAAAAGGAGGAGCTGGGCAATTGGATGCCGATTGGGATTGCAGGGGACCGGGCGGTCGCTTTCGTTTTTCCTGGCCAATTGGATCGCGATCGCGCGGGAAGACGCCTGCTGGCGGGGAGCAGATCGGCGGCGATGGCCACGTGTCATGCCGGCGGGCCCGCGCACCGCTTCCGCTGAATCTTCTGACTACGCGGGACGTCAATCAGGGGCTGCGCGTCCGCGGACGACTCGCGCAGGAGTCCAATCCCAATCACAGTAGTGGGCGGAAGCGGAGAACGGGGGCGGGGGAGGCGTGCGCAATTGGCTGGACGATCTGGGACTGTTTGGGCGGGAAAAGATGGCGGCACGAGGGCTGTGCTGGCGCTCGCGACGGGAGGACTTCTCCATTCAGCCATCAGACGGAAAGCAGGGGGAGGAGAAGAAGGGGGGGATGGACCTCTGTGCGCGCGGGGGCAGGGGGAAGCGGTGGCGGAGGCGCTGGTGAAGGAGGAGGAGGAGGAAGAAGGAGCGGACCATCGAGCTATTTTTTGAGAGACGGTTATGGTCTTTACCCATGGGAAGACGGAAAGGGGGAAATCCAACAAGGTAGGCTCTCGTTAAATAAAGAACACCAGAGAAGAGAGGAGAGGTGGAAGGGAGGGGAAGGAGAAGGGGGGGAGGGATAGGACGTAGCGGCTCACTTTGAAAGCGGCGGGGGGGGCATGGTATGAGTAGGGTGATTACCCCAGGTATGCAGAAGAGAGGAGGAGGAGTGGGAGGATATGTTCGGTGGGGGTTCATTTGGGAGAAAATGAGAATTGATTTCTGTCATAACCAGCGAAAGCAGAGGAGGCTTGGTATAATACAGTCGCAGGCCAAAGAGGTGAATTTGGGGAGGGGGGTGGGGGGTGGCCGCGGGGGCTGCTGGCGGAAAGGTTGTTTCCGACCAAAGAAGGGGAGGGGGGGGGGGGGSGGAAGKGSGCGCCCCCACGTGCTGCGAGAAGCACAGTATCGTAGTGTAGATTTGCGGGGCGGAGAAAAATAAACGAAACGAGTTAAAAAAATGAGGAAACACAAAACTGAACACTAAAGAATCAGGACAAAAACCGGGCAATCCCTTTTTTATCAAACGGGAAGAGAAGAGAACGTTTCAAAAAAAAAAAAAAAGAATGAAATGTTGACGTCGATTGATTAAGTACAGTATGTTTAATTAATAACAACAATATTGAAAGACATTCTAAGAATTAAACTGAGTACTCTCTCTCTAATCTTGGCACTCCACCGTCGCGATCTCATTCTGATTCTACTTGATGCATGGACTCACCGCAATTGGCCTCGCTTTACTCAAAATTCAAATTCAAATTCAAATTCAAATTCAAATTCAAATTCAAATTTAAATTCTTCTTCTTCGCTTTCTTCTTCTTAAACTTCTTCTTCTTCTCCTTCTCCTTCTTCTTCTTTTGCGCATTTCAATTGAGAACTGTATATGTATGTGGAGAAGTATTGAATTTTTTTTTTTGTCGATGCGTATACGAGAAGCAGTCTCCGGCCACTGTTTTCACTATTTTCACTATTTTCACTATTTCACTATTTCACTATTTCACTATTCTTCTTCACTCGGGCCGCACGTTTGAGCAACAATAGCTATGTCTTGTGCCGTAAGACACTCGTTTCTGTTGATGCATGGACTCTGTGTGTGGTGATTGGTCTCGCGAATTTCAAATCCAAAACGAACTCAAATTCAAATTCAAATTCAAAATTTCCAAATTCAAAATTTCCAAATTCCAAATTCCAAATTCCAAATTCTAAATTGGAATTATTGAAAGTGAAATTGAAATTGAAATTGAAAGTGAAAGTGAAATCGAAACTCTTCTTCGTCTTTCTGGTGATGCATGGAGACGTGCCGCTTGGCCTCGCTAATTTCACATTTATTCAAATGTAAATTCTTCTTCTTCTTCTTCTTCTTCTTCTTCACTCCACGCTCGCCCAACATTGCGTGCAAACCATTTCATCCCCCCTCTCCCTCCTCCAATTGCGTGTAAAAAAAGCAACTCATAACCCCCTCTTCTACACCCACCCCCCCCCCCCCCCCCCCCCCCCCCCCGTCTCCACCGTCGTGGGCATTCGCCTACCCACACACACACTCACGCGCGCGCGCACTCACACACTCGCGCGCGCCCACACACACACTTCGGAGTCGGTTGCAAAGCGTCTCCTACGTGTTTGTGTGCGCGCGCAGCCCATCTTCCGATCACTCCTCTCGCGACGTTCTCGAGCCTCCTCGTTCTCCTTTTGTGCGTGTGATTCATGTGGCGACCGCCTTCGGCCCTCTCCCCCCCCTCCCGGCCCGCGTGCAGCCCATCTTCCGATCACTCTGGACATCCGTCTTTTGCCTACCACCCCGCCCCCCTTCTGCCCCCCT